CAGAGTGCTAGGATTATAGGCCTGAGCCACCATGCCCGGCCTTTCATTCATTCTTAATCATTAATGGCCTCAATAAAAATTTTCATTAGGAATTGCAAAATGGTCTGAATCTTTTATTTCTTCTACCTTTATTATATGGAATTATTCTGGAAAAAAAAATTCCATCATTAGCTAAGTCTGTTTGATTACTCTGAAATACAGTTCATCTAGGAATGACAGGATAAATGCTTCATCCTTTGCCGCATTGCCAATTGTTAAGGTACCTTGTGCTGGGCTGCTGCTGTCGTCCCCCAGCCCCCACAGAGACTCTATTTGGTGCTTTGACATCCCATGCCACAGACCCTCCCTTAAGAACACCCCGGTCACACTACTCAGGATCCAACCCCATGCACAGGGCCTTGTGTCCCCCTCCCCCAGTTTAGGTGCCAAGCTTCCCCAGCCCCACCTAAGAGAAGAGAAGGAAGAGAAAAAAGGGAAGGGAGGGGAAGGAAAATAGCCCCCTATTTATTTTAAGGGCCAAAGAAATGTATTTCACCATAACCTACCAAATTCTTATTACCCCTCGCATGACTGTCACACTCTAATTTACTGACCTGCGTGTTGACATTTGCTTCAAAAAAGTAATAATACTAATGACTACATGTAAAGTTGGCAAATTAGGACCAATAGCCTATGTATTCAGCAAATATTTGGCTACAGCCCATAAAGCTGTTTAAGCTCAAAGGAAAGTGAATATTTTGCAGTGATATAGTCAAATTGAAAGTACAGATACAAAGTTTGGATAATGCAAGGCCAAGGGAAATTTGGATATCCTACACATTTGACAGTGACATTATGTGAAAGAATTCCAGGAATAACTTTCAGCTGATACAGCCGGGAAAAGTCTATGTTTGAGGAATCAAACGCAATATAGACAAGTGATACTTTCAGACTCCAGCTGCTTATGCTACCAGACATACATAGATGGTGGTTAATCATTTTTCTAAAAGTTCCATTTCAGCACTCACAGCTACTAGTGATTACTTTTTCAAATAGTCCATTTTACGTAGGAGTACCATTTTATAGGAACAGCAATATCAGTTGATTTCAACAGTACCCAGTCCGATCACCAAAAAATTGGAGAATTTTCTCTCCCCAAAAGACACTGCACGAATTTTTCTATTGCTTTATTTTCATCAATGGTTTCTAGATTAGGTTTGGGAGTCTTTTATTACGTTTTGTTCCTACATGTCTTCATTTAACAGATTTATTTCAGCAGAACTAAAGATGCACATCAGAACCCAGCTCTCACCTTTCTGGTTTTTAAGGTAGGAAAGTCCGGGACTGTCCCTACACATGGACAGGTGGACAAGGTCGAAGAAGAACGGAGGAAGAATTAAGCATCATTTTAGCATTCTATCCTACCCTTCTGTATCTTTATGGGATATGTATTTATATACACACACAACTAATTCAGTCCAGTCCGAGAAATTCGCCTGTCCAAGGAGTTCCAGATGGCAGGTTAGATCAAGTCCGGGATCATAGGAGTGAGAACAACTTTCAGCCGCCTCTGGACACTGGAAAGACAGACTCCAGAGAGCTATGTCTGCTCTCTTTCACAGAGGA